CCATGAACCAGGGGGGACCACATTTCAGCCATCAGAGCATGGCTAAATTCAGGAATGATTACAGCAGCAGCCTGCTTTACATTTTTGTAAAAGCTACCCAAACCAGAATTTTAAAAACATACCCACGAAAATGTTAAGTCTTAAAAAAGGGAGAAGGGGGATAGCTGGCACTTGTCACTGCAAGCTAGTCCACTGAACTGAGAGATGAATTCTTGAAGGCACTGTATTTTCTCACCCAGAACAAGCATGTCCCAAAATAGAGAATAATTAGTTTCATCTTCCACGGGCTGACATATGATTGTTACTGAAGAATGTTACTGTAATGAAGAAACTCATACTTCTGTGTTAACTGACTAAAACAAGCCAAATAAACCAAGCTGACAAATCCTTTAACTTCTCTACAGCCCATGTTCCCACTTAACAGTTACAGGCCTTAAGTGCAAAGGCCATAGAGCCCTGTTTCTGCTGCGAGCGAGGACTTTCATCTGAGAGCTTTTTAGATGTGTTAGGCAGTCAATTGGAGGACACATAAATAACACAGAGAAAAAAAATAGCTGGTGCAGAACAGCCTAGGGTGCATAATAAACTTGCAGTGTTCCCACTGCTCCTCACGTGTATTAAGTTTTCAGACAGGCTGTGTAGTTTCATTTGCCGTTGAGGAACTTCTCCAATTTTGCAAAGCTCTCTCTGTTTCATTCACTCTTAAATAAACAGTGAAACATTGCTGCTATCACAGATTTATCACCTGGGTATGGCAGAATCCATAATGGCTCTCTGACTTCTCTCCCCTTCCTGCAAAACTGGTTTACAAACTGACACAGTGTCCTAAATAGTTAAAAAGGGCCTCGTACCGCTGAAAGCAATTGGTCCTGTGCAGTCAGCTAGACTCCTCAGCCTTGGAGAGCCTGCCAGCCAGTCTGTACCTGGAGTACAGAAGAGGCTCAATATCTGGTCAGCCTCGAGATACAGATAAGCATATGAAGGTGGCTGCAGCACTACTTTAAACATACGCTCTGCTGCTCTTTGTGTTCAAAATTAGACAAAAGCATGGTAGAAATGTAGTCTTAAAGAAAAAAAAATAATAGAACAGATTCTGATCTCAGTTACAGTAGAATGAATCCAAAGTAATGCCATCAAAATTTAAAAATATCAGAGTGAAATGGTTCTAGATTTATATTCTGAGGTCAGAATTTGGCCTAATGTTTTGTTCCCACTGCAACTGCTATAGCTATAAATAAATCAACCACAGAACACAATCATTACAAGTGGCTCTTTGGAATGGACTAGCTTAGATTTAGATCCTTGACTTGTTAAGGAGTCTGTTCTCTGTCCTTCAGCTCAGCCACAGTAGCCTTTGCCTTCTCCCCCTCCAAGCCCTCATTTAACATGGAGTCCAGGTTTAATAATTCCTTTCCTGGAACTTTGTAGTTAAAAAAGGAGAGGAAGAGAAAGAAAAAAAACCCAAACCCACCAAAAGTCCAAGCATTTATTTAAACTTTGGATTCTTTTTAACAGTGAAAAAAATGTTGAAGAAGAAAGATGTCTGCCTTACTATCTGCAAGGTGATACTGTAAAGAGACAGAATGTAAAACCACCAAATTAGATTGCTGAGTTATGGTATTAAAAGGCAAAGAAATCCACAGATGACACTGAAATCTTTGAGCTAGCTGCTACTTGCTGAAAAAAGTATTTCTGGATGAGTGAACTGGCAGCCTTGATTCATCTGTAGGCTGAGCCCCAGTGCTGCTGTATGAGAACAACGTAACAGAAGGGTCCTTTTTGTTAATTTGGTGTTCAAAACCCCAGAGCTCCCCATTATGTCCCAAGAATGTGCAAGCACCTTTCAAACGCCCCAGTCACATAGTAGAAGCTCCTTTAACTCAGGGTTATATATGCAATTGGAAAACAATTCAGTGGGGGGTAGATAGGCATGGTATAACCAGTAACAAACACAACCAGCAAGACTGTACCCATACCTCTCTGGAGTGTGTGCTGTACTGGCCAGTGCTGTACTAACAGATGGCCTCCTCCTGCAGAAAAGCTGCACCCATATACCCTGGTGACAGATGCACCTGAGCAGCATAGGGGAACAATCACATCGTTTCCCCTGTGCTCCAACCTCCCCATACTCCTTTGACCTTTTTGCTTCTGTTGACTTGCTAGAAAAGGCTACTCCTAACACGAGCAGGACTCTCTACAACTTCCAAAACTCAACTTGCCTGATCCATTTACCAAGTCCTCTTCCATTGGAAAATGGAGGAATTTTCCCCTTCCTTTTGAAAACAGCCTTATACCCACAGCTCTCTGTAGGCTATCGACTTCATTCTTTACATGTTCTTAATTTGCTATCAGGTGATTTGCTCCTGTGCCGGAGTGAGCATCCAGATCTAATCTATCCATCACCAAACAGACATATAGCACAGTGCTAACAAAGTGAGTCATGCCATTGATCTATTGTCTTATTTCTTTTAGTATTCCACATACATGACAACTGCAGTGTCATGGCCCTCCTCTCTTGACACCCACTCCCCAAAAGCAGTATTACAACTGCTATCTGCTCAAAAGGCTGGTCACAATAAGATGGAAAAGTATGCTGACCATTTGTGCAGCGATTACCAGTAAGTTAATGGTCTGTTGGTTTAAAACACAGATGTTTTAATGCCATGATGAAGGTCCTCATTTAAACCCTGCTGATACAAAACCTGTTCTTTGTATGACGTAAAAAAAATGGTGGGATAAGACAGAGAGACTACAAGTTAAAGAAACTAAATTACGTGGGGATAAAGGAGGGCAACTAAAGGTCTGAGATGAATGCAACAGGCAAAAAGTCTGTCTCATTTGATATACAACAATCTTGAATCTTCCTACATCAATATGTACCACAACTCCCCTGAAGTAGGTCAGTTGCACAGGTTAGAGAGGAAACAGAAGAAAAGTCATAATACAGTTTCTCTTTGTTGCCTGATTCATTATCTCTAGGCAAGAGTCAGAAAGTATATGGTCCCAAAAAGTCGATGCTGAGGAACCAAAGAGAACAACCCAGACTTTTTGCCTGTAATGTTACATGTGGTTCTCAACTGGCTCACACTCCCGCCTGTAATGTGAAATGAAAATGACTGCCCAGTTAAATCTTCTGTGGTGCCAGATGCATGAGCATTTTTGATCTTCTGTATTTGTGTGGTTTGAAGTCTTGCTTTACTCAAGGGAAGCTGGTAAGCCCTTTGGCCATTGTGCACAGAAATTTTGCTGCACATTTGAAAATCCTTTTGTAGGCCACAGTTGTAATTCATTCTTTTTTTAAAAATACACATGTGGGAAAAAAAGAGAGACTCACTTCTCCACTGGCAACAGGATTGACACTATACTATTGCAAACACAGCTTAAAAACATACCAACCTGATAAAGTAAGAATTTTTTCCAGTTTTATAATAAGGAACAAGAAAACAGTGTTACCAGAAACTAACACTTTGGAGAAGGCACCTGAACCAAACCCTTCCTCCCCTCCTCCCTCCGTGTTTTCCTTCTCCTATCCCTGCCACAAGTACAAGAATTTCCAAAAGATGCCCCCAGCTATTGCCAGAAGCTTTGCTGCAAGAACACCTATCCTGATCCAAGCAGATGTTTAATGTTATCTCAGTGTGTTAGTCAAGGAAGTGTCTGTCTGAAGGGCCAATGAAAACAATGTCAGTTTTGCTGGACTTTATTCCTCACATAAATAAGCAGGCAGCTGCAAAATATTAGGGATAAACTAGACTACCATGTACCTACATCCTCCTGATACTGCCCTCCTTTGTGCTCTCAGAGAGAGCAGAAGAAAGGAAAACACTCTTGAGATTATATGGCTTTCTAAGCAAAATGGTGTCCTTTTTTTTAAGCAGGACTGTCTCTAACAGTGTTACTCTTGAGTGAATAAATCAGCAGGCAGGCCCACTGTCAGATCTTCAACAAAGGTACTCATGTACTGTCCTGGGGGAAAACTCTAAATGGAACAGGGTACAGATCAGAAAATTGTTTGAGGCTTTGCATTACCTGAACATCCACAACAGCTCTCCCTGCTGCTGTATATCAAGAAATGTGTGATGGCACTAAATTTTGCCATTTAATTAAAAATTTCACCAGAAGAGGTGTCTTATAATGCAAATACTGCGAAACACCTAAGTATGTAAAGCATCTGAATTGACTCTCCCTGAAATCAGAGGACAGAGGGACCTAAATCCTCGTGCTGCTTAAGCCAGATCCCTTGATTTTAAGCAAGTTTACAATGGCTGTTCCTGACTACAATCTGACCTCCTCCCTGTTACTTATTACTTCTGCTTCTGCTGCTGCAGAGGAACAGAAGTGAAACATTGCAATGCCAGAGAGCAGAACACTCTTGCTGCCTGTACCAAGCAAGG